GTTCAGCTTTCACGGGATTCTTGGCGGCGAGTTGAAATTCTGGCAGCATTCCGCAGTCTTCTTAACGTTTTCTTCTATTCCAGGCCAGTAGACGTAATTGCTATCGAGCAGCTTCATCTGGGTTTGTCCAGGGTGCCCATAGTGTTGCATTCGCAAAATCTTCTTCTTCAGTGGGGCTGATACGACGATCCTGGATCCGAAGAATATGCATCCGGTGTAAGTGAAGAGTTCTTTTTGCTGACTTCTGTAGTTGAACAACGGCGTACCGGGAAGCGCTTTTGGCCATCGTCTTGTCTCTGGAGGCAGTTGAGCAACTCCAACAATATGACGTCCTTTTTCATGGCGGAGTGTACGTCTTCTACGGTGACTAGCAGCTGGTCAAGTGTTTCCTCGTGTTTCCTTTTCTCGGTAACATCGCCTCTACTGTAGCGATGATGACGTCTTCGTCCGGCGCACTCCGGCAGGAAAGCAGTCGGGAGAGAGCATCGGCCTGTCCAAATGATGTCGTAGAGCAGTATTTAATGTCAAAATCGTAGGCGAGTAGCGTCATTGACCATCATTGTAAACTGTTGGCAGTGTAAGCTGGTACTCCTTTCTTGCTCCGAAGATAGGGAGTAGAGGGCGGTGATCCCTCAGCAGAGTGAATCTTCGTCCATAGATGTAGCGGTGGAACTTCTTGACAGTAAAAGCTAGGACCAATCCCTCCTTGTCAATCTGCGAGTAGTTCTTCTTTGTGGCAGTTAGGGCACGGCTCGCGTGTCATTTTCCGATCCATCCGGATAGCGGTGAGAGATTACGGCTCCGATTCCAAAGTTGCTTGCGTCAGCGGCAACAATGATCGGCTTCTTCTGGTCGTAGTGGCACAGCAGAAGTCGTCGAAAGACGAGTAGAACGAAACTATCCCAAGGTACGATTCGAGCTGCTTCACATCTTGAGGCGGCGGCATATCGGCAATGGCAGCGATCCTCTCACGACCAAGGCGTCTTCCTTCAGCATCGAGGATAAATCCGGGAAATATAATGCTGAGCTTAGCAAAATAACACTTCTCACGTCATGTTCTGCGCGAGTCCTTCCGGTGACCACAACATCGTCCACATAAGCAATTGCTCCGTTGATGTCGGCAGCGACATTGCTCAGCGACTGGAAGATCCCTGGAGCACTCTTCACACCAAACGGCAAGCAGAGGTAGCGGAGAATTCCTCTCGACGTGTTGATGATCAGCGACTCCTTGCTTTTGTCGTCCATTTCCACTTGCAGGTGAGCCTCACGCAGATCGATATTCGTAAAAACCGTTCCTCCATTT